ACAGCCTAGCCATACGTCGCCACGACCAGATGTTGGAGGTGAAAGAAAAACACAGTGTTTTTCCATGTTTCAGAACATTTGTTACTACTGCTTGTTACATGCCCCTCACACGACCCGTGGTTCTTTCAGATCGATAAATTCAAATTAGCCCTCAGCCGTGATTGGGACTGGACTTTGTGTGTTTTCATACCCACGCCGGCCCGTTTAGTGTTCTGCAAATATACCTCCTGTCCGGTGCGTGTCTTTTTGACTCGTGGGGCGCAATCTAAGAAGTCGAACGCCTGGGGGCACAACAGATTTCTGGCGACGAGAAGTGGTGAACCATGTCGGTTTCGTTCGAGCAATTGCAGACTTTACTTCAACAGCAACAATTGCAATTTGAGAAATCGCAAAGGCAGCTGATCGAATTGCTCACACAGAAATTGAACCTTCAGACAGAACCCCCGACGACGACGACGACGACGACGACGACTGCACGATCATCAGTGGACGCCCTTACTGCATCAATCACAGAATTTGTGTTCGATGGATTGAGTGGTGTAACCTTCGATTCATGGTTTAAGAAGTATGAGGATATTTTTCGAGTGGAGTTTGCTGACCAAGATGATGCCTGGAAAGTTCGATTGTTGTTGAGAAAAATTGGAGCAGTGGAGCATGAACGCTACACAAATTTCGTGTTGCCGAAAAACGCAAGGGACTTCAGCTTTGATGAGACCGTGAGAACTTTGACGCAGATCTTCAGTGAGCAAGCCTCTTTGTTCAGCATTCGGTACAATTGTTTGAAGTTGGTCAAACGCGATGTCCATGACTTTGTCACTCATGCTGGGATTGTGAACCGCGAATGTGAGCGATTCAAACTGGGCACGATGACTGCGGATCAATTTAAGAGTCTTATTTTTGTGTGCAGTCTCCAGTCCCCCGCTGATGCCGATATTCGCACACGGATTTGACACAAGCTTGAACAGGAACCACAACTGACGTTGCAGGATATCACTACAGAATGCCAGCGGCTGATTAATTTGAAGCACGATACAAAAATGGTTGAAACTGCTGATCACAAAACTGAACCCCAAATTTGTCGTACAGCTATCCGACGTAAAGGAATGAATCGAACTGGATCAACTCCGAAGCCCCCGACCGCATGCTGGAATTGTGGCGCCTGGCATTTTGTGAGAGATTGCACATATAAAACGCACCAATGTCAGAAGTGCAGACGGGTTGGCCATAAGGAAACCCAATGCCAAGTTGTGAACAATTTCAGACGTTCTTTTCCCCCAAAAATGCGCGTAAATCCCAATTTTAGAAGAGCCAATTTTCACGGACCGGCCGCAAAGATAATCCTCGCCACCTTTCGCACAGAACTTGCACAAAAGAGAAAGTACGTGTCAGTAAAAGTCAATGGTGTTCCTATCACGTTGCAGCTGGATACAGCGTCCGACATTACAATCATCTCGAGATCAGTCTGGAAGAGGCTTGGGAGACCAGCATTCAAACGCACAACCCTGACGGCTAAAAATGCATCTGGGGGACCACTGAGATTAGATGGTGAGATTGAGTGCGAAGTCAGCTTCAATGGCTTGAATCTTCGTGGCACGATTTACTTGGTTACGAGCAGTGACGTAAATCTGCTCGGCATCGATTGGATCGAGAAGCTGCATCTACTCGACGTACCATTGAGTCACATTTGTTCTGAGAAGAATGTCGCGGTGCTTCATACAGCCGTATCGAATCAGCCGGGTCAAAGTATTGCAGAACTGCTTCAATCGAAGTATGCATGTGTATTTCAATCAGAGCTTGGACATTGCACGAAAATGCAGGCAAAGCTTACCCTGCTTTCTGAGACAAAGCCAGTGTTCCGACCAAGACGTCCAGTCCCTCACGCATCCCAAGCACTCGTGGAGCATGAGCTTGATCGCTTACAGCAGGCCGGAGTGATCGAGCAAGTTTCTCACAATGGGCAGCGCCTATCGGTGTGATCAGAAAACCGAATGGCTCAATTCGTTTGTGTGCAGATTTTTCAACCGGCTTTAATGCTGCATTAGAACCCCATCAGTACCCGCTTCCACTCCCAGACGACGTGTTTGCAAAGCTGAATGGAGGCAAGTACTTTGCTACTCTGGATCTGGCAGACGCTTATTTGCAACTGCAGGTCGAACCGGAAAGCAGAAAGCTGCTAACAATCAACACGCATCGCGGCCTTTACCAGTATAATCGTTTGCCATTTGGAGTAAAAACTGCACCTGCAATCTTTCAACAAGTTATGGACGCTATGTTGACTGGCTTGACGGGAGCAGCAGCCTATCTAGATGATATCATCATAATGGGCGGAACCCAGGAGGAATTGTTTCAACGGCTGGATGACGTGATGATGAGAATTAAGGAATATGGATTCCGGTTGCGAGCTGACAAATGCAAATTTTTCCTGAAATCCATCAAGTTCCTGGGTTTCGTGATTGATGAGAACGGTCGACGGCCTGATCCTGAAAATATCGAGGTCATAGACAGATTACCGGCACCAACGGATGTCACAACCTTGCGCTCATTCCTTGGGATGGTGAGTCATTATAGTGAGTTCCTACCTTGCATGCATCGATTACGTCATCCTTTAAACCAATTGTTGATGAAAGATGTTGAATGGAACTGGTCCGCACAGTGTCAAGAAGCTTTTGACAAACTCAAATCTCTGCTGAAATCAGATTTGCTCCTTACGCATTACAATCCGAAGCAGGAGATTGTCGTGGCTACGGATGCTTCGAGTTATGGAATTGGTGCTGTCATCTCACATCGCTTTCCAGACGGGTCCGAAAAGGCTGTGGCACATGTGGCACGAGCGCTGACCGCATCTGAAAAGAACTACAGTCAAATTGAGAAGGAGGCGTTGGCTATCATCTTTGCCGTACAGAGATTTCACAAGATGATATATGGCAGAAGATTCACGCTGGTAACTGATCACAAACCGCTTTTGGCAATCTTTGGATCTAAGAAAGGCATTCCGACATATACAGCCAGTCGACTTCAGCGCTGGGCAACTCTGCTCCTGGGGTATGATTTTGGCATGCGGTATTTGTCCACTGATTCTATTGGACAAGCGGACGCCCTGTCCAGACTGATCAATACCGGTAGACGCGATCAAGAAGACGCAGTCATTGCATCCATTGCAGCCGAATCGGACGTCAGCTACATGATACAAGACGCAGTGTGTAACTTGCCAGTGAATGGTTTAATGGTTGCGCAAGCCACTAAACAGGACGCTGTGCTACAAGAAGTATTAACCTATACAAGAAGTGGATGGCCAAAGAAGTGTCCGAACGAAGCTTTGACCCAGTTTTTCACAAGGCGAGGCGCATTGTCGGAAGTTGATTCCTGTCTGTTTTTCGCAGATCGCATAGTCATTCCAGAAGTGCTCAGACAGCGCATACTAAGAGAGCTGCACAAGGGCCATCCAGGAGTCGCCCGCATGAAGGCACTCGCTCGCAGCTACGTCTTTTGGCCGATGATGGACAGCCAAATTGAGGATATCGGTCGATCCTGTTCCAGATGCATCAGTGCATCCAAACTGCCGGTGCGTGTGCCATTGCAATCTTGGTCGAATCCAGAATCTCCCTGGTCGCGCATACATGTTGATTTCGCAGGACCAGTCGAGGGGGTGGAATTTCTTGTGATGGTTGACGCGTACAGTAAGTGGCCGGAAGTGATCCGGATGCAAACCACGTCCTCAAACAGCACAATCTCGGAAATGAGACATGTATTCAGTCAGCATGGCCTACCAAAAACCGTTATTTCCGACAACGGATCGCAGTTTACGTCCTATCAATTCGCCGAGTTTTGCGCACAAAATGGAATCGAGCAAGTGAGGACAGCACCATATTATCCACAGTCAAATGGCCAAGCGGAAAGATTCGTCGATACCCTGAAAAGAGCACTTTTGAAGTCAAAAGGCGAGGGAACGTTGGACGAAAGACTGGACCGGTTCCTACTGAATTATCGAGTGACTCCCAATCCCAATGCACCCGATGGGAAGTCACCAGCTGAAGTCCTAATGGGTCGCAGATTGAGAACTACACTGGATTTGCTGACACCCAGGCGTCCTCTCCCACAAACAAGGAACTTAGCAATGGAGCAACAATACAACAGGCGGTACGGGGCACGGAGAAGGATGCTCAGAGTTGGCGAATTCGTATCTGCATCTTGTTACATGCCCCTCACACGACCCGTGGTTCTTTCAGATCGATAAATTCAAATTAGCCCTCAGCCGTGATTGGGACTGGACTTTGTGTGTTTTCATACTCACGCCGGCCCGTGTAGTGTTCTGCAAATATACCTCCTGTCCGGTGCGTGTCTTTTTGACTCGTGGGGCGCAATCTAAGAAGTCGAACGCCTGGGGGCACAACACCAGAACTCCCTGATGTCAGTGCATATGGATGCTGAGAACCATCAATTCGACCTAGAGCATGCCAGTATCCTTGGAAGGGCTAAAAGCCGGCAAGCACGTGGGTTCATTGAAGCCTGGCGATCAATAAGCACTTGGACACTGAAGTCGCTTACGAGGCACTGCGAACCAGGCCCCTGAAGCCGCACTGATGATGTTGCCTAGTCAGGCAACGAAACGTCTGCAAAATAATTACCCAGCTCGGAGAACTGCTCAAAATCCGCAGTAGTATGGTACCCTTGCGGGTGAAAAAGCGCCCATCCAAAGAAGAGGAATGGGGGACAGAAAACTTCAAGTGTAGAAAAGAAACGGCCACATCACCTATACAGGTACTGAGATAACCCCCCACGGAAGTCATGCATGAGAGACGGGGAATAAAGCGAGTAACATGCCTTCTACAAATCATTGTACACAGTCAAGGTAGCTTCTCATGAAAACAACTAATATTCTCGGCTGAATCCAAACGTACGTAAGGGTGATGAGAATAGAATGTCGTTGATCATAAACGAGTGTGAGTATTGGTGCCCTGAGGATCAACACAGCCAAGGTAAGTGGAGATATTCTGGTTTACCTTCGGAAATGAGGAACAAAGCAACTTTGCCGTATCGGTCACCGATGGCAACAACAGGAAGAGAACGATTGGCGGCAGACACCGTGTAGCCCCGAAATACGCCCACACAGCTTGCTGATTGGGTGGAATCGATCGATAAGTTTGAAGGGGCAGGGTACGGTAATGTTTGAGCACTGCATACGACGTCGTCCAACAGCTTCACGTCACCATAACGAAACAGTGGCTGCACAACGGTTTGAAATGGGATTGAGTTTGAGTACTCTTCTGTACTAACTGTGAAGTAGTTTCTGAACAAAATAAACGGAAATAGTACAAGGGTTGCAAATTGAACGATAAAAAGCGATTAGGGTTGAAGAAGTAGAGATCTAACTTAGTAAAAAGTTTGGAGCGAAATTAGAAGATGAAAATAGTGTGACACACAGGATCCTGACGGCTAGAATCGGCCAACATCACTGTGTTCACCAGCGACGTAATTGTGACATCGCGGATATTGTGGCAGAACATAACTCCTCCTTTAAGACAACTGGACATAAAGGCAAGAAAATGAGAACGGAAGCACATACAACACAACTTACCCCGCATCGGTTAGACAAAATAAGCGTCCATTGGGACTGAAAAATAGACAGCGAGGAAAGTCGTTACATTTTCGGTCCCCCGAAGGTGGATTCTGCAAGCGATGGAAGAGCAAAACGAAAAATGCGAAATACAAGTTAACCGAGGAAATCAAAGCTTGGACACTCGGTGTAGATGCTATAGACCAAAAAGAGGGCGCTAATGGTTATTTCATCTGTCGGAGGAATCCAGGTGTGCCACGATCCTTGCGTGAATCTGTAGTGGAAACGCAGCTACAAAAGGTACGGCGTAGCGAATAGCTTATGAAAATTAGTGTGCCATACCAATGGTCCAACTAGTTTGAGTTCGACTTGCAGACGCCACAACATATTGGGACCTGGTCTGACATGGGCTATCTAGCAGTAGGCCGGCCGAATTCGTTCACGTAGAAAACAGGAATAGCACAGTAAACCCCGTTACAAGTCGACCGACCAGGTAAAGTGGGGAGGCACATGAATTAGAGAGGTCGCGATCACTGATAACTGAAAGCTGTCAAGACAAATGGCTCAGGTGAAACTACGGCTTCAGTGGGAGCAAACTGAAGCAATGAAAAAGCACCTAGTCTTCGGATGCTACTTATTAACTCTAACAGAGGTTTGAATTTGAACCATACATATGCAGCTGTTCACTGCTATCCAGCCGAGCAGAATGCCTTCAGTATGTTTGCCGAAGGGGATAACCACCGCAAATACCTTAGCTCGATTCGGTATCAACTGAGACGTCATCGTTATCATCAACAGCGGTACATCAGCAATTTGAACTGATGCTTCGCTGCCATACAACCATAATGCCCTATGGAATAAAGAATAACAAGGGAGAGAAGGGGAATTTACCTGTAAAGCTTAATACCCCGAACAAACAATCAGGGTCAAGGCGCATACACCTCGTTAACAAAACAGCTCCCTATCGTACAAAGGTAAGGCGGCATCAGCGAGACAGCATCCTTTCAGCTTTCACTGCCAAGCGTTATAAGCCATTAAGCCGCAGATAACTCACCACCGAACACACTATAAACAGGCAGTCCGACTAAGTGACGACAGCAGACGCGTCACTGGTGCCAACTGCGAGCCATGTCCTGTAAAGTCACGAGCCAATCACAAAGCCTGTTACACCCAAGTGAAGTCAGAAAAGCGAGGTGGTAGTGAGAAAAACTTTAGTAGCAAGCGTAAGCCGTACACTCCACCCAGCACATATGAGCATGTAAAAACCGTCAAGTGAAAGCGAGAAGGATTTCCAGTTCGAGGCGGACAGTGACTGGTTAACATAGAAACACGTACGCACTCAAGTACACGCGTTCCTACGCAGCAGTCTTTCCGGCTGGATGGATGTGGCATGACAGATGACCGTATCAGCGAGTCAGGTGGACTCCAGCCTGGAAGGCGCGACGAACCGACCGCAAAAGGTTTGGTAGTCAGTGACTGTATTACCCGCTGCCAAGTCAACGTTTCTCTGCCACGAGCCTTGCACAACCCTACATCGGGAAGACAAAACAAGGCCCTCCTTGGTAACCGGTGACCAGATATACGTATACGTGCCCAAGCCAACGAAACTTAGTATTATTGTTTGTTCTGAAGAACTAGCTTAAGTATCACTGCCTAGCACTCGCCTACGTACATCATCGTTGCAGACATTCAGGTGCCACCTGAGACCAGTAATGCTCCGCAGACAGCGATGATCAGAGTTGAAGGCGCTTCTGATTTTCAGACCGAAGCGGCCAAATCTTACTATCATTGAGTAAGACGGCCCTCATTGTGGCCTTGCATACACGACATTTCAAACGGAAAGAAACTCCTTTCTGTCGCCAAAAATGCCGCAGACACAAGAAGGCAGTTTTGGTTTTGCAATACGTCAATTAAGTTCAGTTACTATGCGCCTATCGTTGATGATGCAACTGCCAAGACAAGTGAATTGATTAAGTGCCTCGAGTTCCTCGCTATCAAGGGTCAAGAGTTCAGCAAGTATCTGGTGTTCACGCAGCAACCTTGAAGATGCGAAGGGCATACGAAATAATGGGGCCACTCAAGAGCCGCCCCAACATCGTTAAAAAGCAAGAGGATATAGTCCGTGTAATCAAGATCAAGTAGCCTTTCACCAGGAAGCACCTCAATGCCTGCATCGTGAGAATCCGCAAGGGAACAATTCATGATGCAGTCCACGACGAAATTTAAAAAAAAAACACGGGGAAATCGGACAACCCTGACGAACGCCACTCGTTATCGGAAAGCTGTTCGACAGGTCACCGTAGACCCTGTAGTGTTCGAGTACAGTGCACATAAAATGTTCACATATTTCATGGGAACACCTTTCCAAGCAATTATTTCGAACAGAATGCATTGATCGAACGCTCTCCTTAGATCGAGGAACACAACTATTACTGTATGTGTGGCGCTGCTCTAGCACATGCCGCAGAGTGGATATGTGGTCTATACAGCCATCACTAGGGCGCGAAACTACCTGCTCTTCCCTAATCCGAGATTCCCGTTCCACAGTGGGGCAACGAACGAGAATTGGCGCCAGTAAGTTAGTCACAACTGGCGTTTGGCTAATACTCCTGCAGTTAGTACAGTCAGTGCGACTGTCCTTCTTCTATATTGCCACCATAATCAATTCCATCTAATTAGTCGGGATGGTCTTATCCTTCCATGCATGTTCGAGCGGGAAGGTTAGTGCTTCGCAGAGGACCTCACCTCCATCCTTAGATAGTGCAGGTGGGAAGAAATAGGGCCAGCAACACGAAAACGATTGAGGGCTGCGATCGCGTTTCGGACCTCGGCCTCCGATGGAGCCGTTAAACTAACCGTCTGTGGCTCTTCCTTCATTACCTGAGGAGGAAAAGGTCCGGGAGCGGGGGCAAACTGAACCAAACGCGCGAAGAGTGTAGCCATCGCCTTGAGATTCAGAACTAGGGAGTAGATCTGTCACGCCGCTGTTATCTTGTTTGCATGTTTCTGAGACACAGCACACATCAATACCAAGAGAGTGAAAAATGAGAGTCAGTGCTGCCTGCTGGCCGATCTGACCTAGAGTGCGGACATTAGAAGAACCAAAGCGAAGTGAAACTAGCTTTGATGGAGCAGCTACATGTATCGATGGCAACAGGTGTGAGGTCAGTGGCAGTCTTTTGCTGAAAAGATGAGGGAGGAGAGGGAGAAGAACAAGGTGGGAGTATTGTTGATGTGATCAAGAGGGCAGATGATACTCTTCGGCTGCCTATTCCGAAAGAGGAGTTTTATTCGAAGCGCCCTGCGTCTAGCTTTTAACTCAACTGTCTGGCCCACAAGGCAGTGAGGTACATGGAGGTTCGCCTGAGGGACTTCACCCGGAGACTTTGGCTCAATAGCCTGACCCACAAGGCAGTGGGAAGCAATTCCTGCTAGGGAATGTGATCACGAAGCAAATCGGGATCTGCTTGAGGCCTGTCACACACAACCATTGTAGGTTTAGAACAGTGCACAAGTGTTTTACGACCGTATTATGTTACGCACCTATGACCACGGCCAGCTACAGGTGGGAGCTGGCGGGTTTGCACCAATTTGACTATGGGTTGGCTGGCTTGAGGCGGGCGGTAGTAAACCATTGAGCACCGGAAGTTGCCCTCCCACTGTCACAGACAATGCGTGGCGATCGTACTCTACGCCAATCGAGCTGTGAGCTTGTAACTCGTAGACCTGTTGTCTACCATGGCTGGGTATTAAAGAAATAGATCTATCGAACTCTCCCTAACCTCCGAAGAGGATTGGATTGTGAGACTCGTCTGGTATGAGTGGCTCCGAAGGCACTTGGAAAGTGCCACCCAGCATAGCTCAACGGGTCACGGTGGTACGCAATCTATCGCACCACACTAAGATCCGGTCACGTTACTTTGGACGGAAAAAGAAACAGGGACCAATGCATATAGCCTATGAACCGCAAAGTAGACGAGTGGCCGGCGATATCAAGAGAAACGCATCATACTGATAGAAGGTGAACATATGGTGATGGAGACAACATCAAACAGAAGGCAGATGAGACAATGTAAAGGCAACGGCGAAAGAATGGGGAGACTAAGCACTGCGAACGAAGTCAGTGAGATGGAAGACTGGCTCTGTGGGCAAACACTTTTAAAGCACAGTGATGCAATCAGGTGAATAATAAACAGGCAACAAGGCTGAATCCACTTAGCCCACAACGCGGTGACGGGTTTATGTTTCAGTTGACAAATCACCCTCATCCGACAAATCAATCAAAAGAAAAGCGACACTGGCTATATTAGTTGGGTGAAAGATCAAACCAAGTCAATTTACAAACCATGTTGGAGTTTCACATAGGGCGTCATTCTGAATGCAAAATCATCTGTACGAGTTGACGTCTGTGAAATATGTGCTCAATAAAACGTTGTACATCAGCCGTTCTCCCTGACAATGTTCATACATTTCGCACCAGCAGTGACGTTGAGTCCAGAGACTCAGCAATAGGAAATAAAGACTCCGAAGGGGAATCCATTAAATGGGTTCAAGAGAGAAGACAATTGCGTGTGTTTTGAGTAAAGTCAAGTCATAAGCAACAGTAATTATGGCACCGGCCCGTACACCTGAGGATCACAAGCCTGCCTTGTAATCTGAGGGTGTGGGTTCGAGCCTGCGTAGGGACCGCGCGACCCTCGCCGCACCTTTAACCCGCGTGCGACTGATGGTGATTGCGTGGCAGCGAAGCGTTGGTACTGCGTACCGGCGTACTGCCCGTGCCATTTTTCAAATAATTACCTCAAGGTATGACGTTACATCGTCGTTCCAGCGCATGTCTCATTGACGACAGGGAAATGGGATACTGATAGTGGACATCTGCACCCGCTTCACCAAGATGCACAGGGCATAACTGATAAGGTGATAACTAGCATGTGAATTAAGCAAATAAGCTAGTGTATAGGTATCTTGGCTCCTGAGAGCTAACATCAAATCTAAGCCTCGCGATGACGCGCCTGTGAATAACATTGACAACCGCGGATTACGAGATGGGAACCCTAGAGTATTCGATCTCGGTTAAAAAAGGATGTGGTCAGGACCTCAAATGTCCTTTGGAACTCCCATCAGCCATTCCAACCATATCAATCATCATGCCACTGACCACTATGGATACAATCTAAAAACCGGAGAATTAAGGTTTAACCGATTGAATCTTCAAGAAATAAGCACTGGTAGTTAAGCACATTCTTTTCCAGTGCTGCGTTCAAGAAAGGATGAAACAGTTAATTTCTTGCGTAGAACAGCGATATATCTTTTCGCATTATTCATCTAAATGTGTCTTCGGGAACTGTTCTAAGGACGCAGGTGGCAAGACAAAGGTTCTCTGCGTCAATGTCCAGCGCGGAGCAAATGACAGGTTGATCTGGCATACGCTGTTACGAATACGATAATCAATAAACAAAGGTAAAAAAATAAGAGAGAATCGAAAGGGAAACGAAATAAAATGAAGTCAAGTAGAATTGATAAGAAAAACAAAGTCGGTCTATGGAGCAGCACAGTCTGAAGCAAAGGAGTGAATGAAGGTCACCAACGACTCCGCGAATATGCCATATTCGATTTCATTTCTAATTGCTGCTGCGGCCGGATCCGGTGACTACGTCTAGGAGAAATATATGCAGTAATACGTCCAACAGTCATGTCGTGTCATGTAATCAGTGGCATTCCAGCGCAGACGCCTGTTTCCTATCATCCATTTCGAATGGCAAATACATTTCTGGATTGTATCTACAGATATGTTTGCACGTACATTGGTTTCAAGTTAACTTCTTACTAGCAGGCAAACGCTTGACACAGCAACTGCATTCGCCGCGTTTGGGAGCATAGCTGGTTAAGTAAGCTGATGAAATAGCTGCGTTTTTGTTCTCCTCACAGAAGCGACACGGTGATCTTAGTCAAAAGAAAAAAAGCCTACCATATGTCACTTCCGCGACCACAAGTGGGTAAAAACAAAAAACAAGTTAACTAACAAATAAATAAGCAAACTGCTCATCCAGTTGGATCACAGTATCGAACTGAGTGAGACAACGGTCAGGATGATCAGACAATTAAGAGAGAGGGTCGTTGGTAACCCAACTGAGTGTTGGCCGCCAATCCAAGCGTGGTTTCTAAGCGGTTAAGATGCAGTTGATTCGCGTGAAAAATAACCCGCAACCGCCCGCAGTCACCCCAGAAGGAGAACATGGTCACATAAAGCGCGCCGAAGAGACAATCTGTGAAACGAAGCTAGATAATAATAATGGGGACAGAAGACAACGGTATGAAAGTGTTTATTAGCACGAATGTGCTACTTCACTTAACACTAGACTAGTCCCGTGCAACAGTTGTCCGCGGTCGCAGGCTCATTGTTATCCTCTTCGATGGGGTCATTCATAAAACTAGGCTTGCACATCGAACAACAGTGACGAGTGCGACTATACATTGAGATGATGCTTCCCAATGTATTAACCAAAGAAAATGAGGATGGGTTGCGAGGGTCCAGTGGCTGGATACGGAACAGATAAAAAGACCACGTGCACTACCTGGGTCTCAGGATGAAGACAGTTAAGATGATTCATCGCAGACTAGTTAAGCAACAACTATGGTCAGTTCAGTCGAAATGCAATTAACTCGCTTTAGGATTAGCGGCTTGGAATATCTGTCGGCACATTTTGATTTGCATATAATTGCATAAGCCTAAAGATGAATTATCGGAAAAGTATGTCCGCTTACCCTGAATTCTGAGGTGAATGCAGTCGACATGGAATAATAGCGACGGCAAACAGTGAAGAACAGCAGTAATAATGCTGCAATCATGTAACATTTTAACCGTATCGATAGAAGGACAATGATAACAAGTATTATTGACTAGGTCAAAATAATCTCAGTGGCAATAAACTACATGGTGTTAAAGAGGTGGAAAACGCTTGGAACCAATCGGTAAGCCAATATTTCAGAGGACCTTAGCATTAACCGGTTGCTCACAAAGCCTTCTGGAAAGGTGGAAAGCAAAATTGAAGAAAAAGAGAGTTAGGAAAAAGTAGAACAAAATTAGCTGAGAGGAGAAATTAACAGTTAGCCCTAAAGAACCAGATGCTGGACACAGGAACAGAATTCATGCGAACTGCAGTACTCTGGCTATTGTGGAGGTATACATGGGTGGTACGTTTTGTTTGGAACAACACTGGAAAACTGAAGATAGAAAAACACGTTGCAGTATGTCGGCGAGCTTACTGAAGCCTCTTCCATATCTTGGGTGCAATGTGTTTCTGTGTTAATGCAACGGTTAGCATGAAGAGCATCCGATAGGCGAAGGACAACAGATACCGTCTCGCTTTTGGGTGGCATGGGAAGAACGCACACAGCCCCGTCATTCCCTCCCGTGGCCTAAATATGAAGACAAAGTGGTATAGCAGAGATGATTAGAAGTACGATCATATGAGAAACATCGCCTAGAAAATTGAAGCATGTGGGCCATTTCGTAAGTTGCTTAATTCCATAGCCCAGCGAAGTTGACAAGCCAACCCAAAATACCTTCGCGGCAAATGGTAACAGTGACTTTGAGTGCGAAACACGTATTCCTCTATATATCAAGGCCAGTGAAATTATGCATAGGTCAACAGATGTGCCAGATGCAACATCTAAAGAGAAAGAGTTCAGGAAACTGGAAGAATAATACAGCTATCCGATGGAATGGTGCGGCTGATAACTACGTTAAACGGAAAATATCGGAAATCCTTAGTTAAACACCGTCTAGAACAGTCGGAAGCTGTCATTAGAGAAAAAAACGTCACACATTGTGGCGACTGCGGCTCTATGTGACCGAGTGTTGGTCGAACGAATTATGAAGAAATTAGCCCAGTTGACTTACGATTACAGCATCTTCTTCGCGATTTTCACTCCCGAACCAGATAGCACAGGACCAAACGCCATGACCCCGGTGGACATGTTTGATGGCACGACTCTTAGTAATGTTAAGCCACGAGTACCAGATGACATGACAATCCTGATAAGGAAAAAATACTTTGGATAAGAGAACGGGAATGCGAATACAGTTGGAAAAACGCTCAGGAACTGACAAAAATAGAGTGAACAGGACCTACAAAACCAATTACGCAGTCGGGAAAACAGCGTAATGTCAGTAGAGCAGTGTGTGCAGAGGAGTCCGGAAGAATAGTAGGAACCAGTTTGCTGGAGGAAATTGGTCAGTGTTGCAGTTTTAATACGCGGCAAAATGCGACTGCAAAATGAAGAAAGAGATGAGTATGGAATCAGAGAAGGGGGGAAAACCAAGCACTACAGTTCAGATGTTTCTGTGCGCGTTGAGTTTCCAAGCTCACCAACAGTCCGGTCGAAGGGGAACGATCACTGATCTAGTCAGAGTGGAACAAGGCGTTAGCAACAGGCATCCGCAGTTCGACGGCACATTGTTCTTACGCTTCGTTGCCAAGCGACCACCGGCAGTCCAGCGTGGTCAGCCGAATCTCGCGGATTTGTATCGCTGACCGCCGGACTACAACGCAAACGTGTACTCCTTTCGGCAACCGGCAGGCTGAGATACCAGCGCCGCCCACAAGAAAAAAGTTAAGGTCCTCAACCGAGAACCTCGGCTGAAAAACCTGGCAAGTTAGATGATGGGAGTAAAGCAATATTCCATGAGGGGTCACTTTAGCATAAATGGGTGCCACCTCAGTTGCAGCCTCCAAACTTGATCAATAACTTCTGATCAGACTAGTGGTAACTGTTCTTAAGGCCTCCAACGGCACCCAGTTGAGCCAATTCGTTGCACCACATTAAGGTCTAGTTTAGTTGCCGTAGCACCCGACAAAAAGACAGCTAATAAGTTCAGATGTGGCATAATGGTGCCGGTGCATCGGTCAATATCAAGGAGACAGATTTACACGTGGAAGCAAACGTACCTCACCCGCAGCCAAGACTCCATGGTCAGTTACGCAAACCCTCCATATCCGAGAAGTAAACTGAATTTTAGTACCAGGATTGTTGCCGTTCAATAAATATGACAATGTCCACGGTCCTGCATATTCGTCTATAGTTGGACTACGGTCATGTGTATCTAATGATCGTTCCCATACAGCAATAGTTCTGTCTTCGGCTGACGAGGCCAACAAGATCGATTGCCCGGAGGACTTGAGATGAAGGCAGATGCAAAACACCAGTCCCTACAAGCGAAAGAGGATTAGATGGAAATCGAAACTCACCTTTTGACAACACAAAGTACTAGTGCTATGCATACTTTCGACATGGGCATTGCAAGAGGTGCCATATCTGACTGTGTGACGATGAATGACAATTCTACCGAATGCAGAGCCGGAAAACGTGAGCAACTGGGCGAGGGATTGTGTGCCTTTGCAAACAACAAAGCCAGAATGACTTCAAAAATGATTTCCACAAGAACGAGCAGGGCTTACCAAATGGCTGAAGCGATGCCAGAAGACACCGAACAATCGACCCTCCATCGCTGGATTAACAGAGAAACTTTGACTACGGTGAGCTCTGAATGGGCCGATAGAAAGCAAAAGAACACACAATCATTGTCGTTCTGGACAGAGGAATGTACAATGCTGTCGCACTTGTAAGCATCGAAAATAAGTGACCCATGCGAGCGAAGTGCGTCGAAGATCAGACCGGCATAAAATCTGTTTCCGCCAACTGCAATGGCTGATCCATACATTCCTGGAACTGCAGTCACATCACTGAGGGGCAATTCCAATAGACTAACGACTACAATTTTGAATGGAGTGGATAGTGACGGAATTTCTGAAACGCCATGTCCAGACAACATAGGAGGGGCAGATATTGTAAAGCTGCAAGACGTTCCCAGAGCCCACTAGCAGCGTACCACCAGACAGAAAACAAAGAGCCGTAACGGGGCATTGCTGCCAACGAAGTTGCAGAACAGATGGCTGGAAAAAAAGTAAAATCTAGGGAATGTGATAAAAACAGACCCGATAAAACAAAGATACGTTGCCGCACAGTGTGAGCGGAAAACGCGAGCAGCGGTCAGATACAATTTCACCATAGATACAAAGCATATCCCGTTAAAACTAAATGAGGGTATAAAATACAAACTGTTTTGATATTCCAATTGAATGAATGTAAAGGCCTTGCTCCAAACTAGAATCAAAGCAGAAGCGCACCCTAAATCAACTGAAGATTTGCACCGATGAAGAGAGGTAACAATGTGCACTCAGGAGTGATTTATGAGTGGCAAGTAACTGATCAGCAGAACGAAAGTTCAGTGATAAAAATAGTAAAACTAACATGCACTGCTAGCATGATCTTCAATATGACAAATTTAGACCTGGAGATTCAAGCCGGCGTGAAGTGCCCTGTTTCGAATCCACAATTGACTTATTATGATGCCTGATCCTTTATCCGGCTGCAGGAAGATTAGGTGTGTCATGTCTTTTAACTTTGATCGCGGCATAGTATTCAGCCTGCAGGCAACATCTCTGGCTTATTGGCGTATTAAGGAATCGGTCCGCGATATCCATCAATTTTGCCCGAAACCAGCTCGCATCTTCTCTGGATCTTGGCGAGAGATCACTGAACTGGTCATACAGATATTCAAAGCGGGCCTGCGTGCTGAGCCTGTCTATCGTCTTGGGTGACAATCGATATTTCATTCCGAGAGAAAGCATTTCCAACTGCGGACGAGTGAAGTGAGTAGATGATAGATTAAATACACGCTTCGGGCAATCAGTAGGGAAGGAAGCATATGTAGTCTTTGCAGGCGAACCCTGTAGGCTACCAACACACAAGCTCAGGTCCGCCCTAACGCGCACATACACACATTGCTCGGAAACTTGTTCTTCATGACCGTCAGAGCAACTATTCGGCTAGTTCGGCCACTCAAGTGGTTTATCAGTTCACCTGCAGTTGCAGTGACGTTTATATAGGCAGAACTAACCGTCAGTTGGCTCAGAGGGTGGCTGAATACTTGCCAAAGTGAGGGGAACAAATGATGACGCAACAAACCGGAGCGCCTCCAGAATGAACCGGATTCCGTCATCATCTATCACCAAGCACCTCCTGACAACTGGTCACAATGTGGACCCCAAGACTACGTTTAAAGTGCTATTACGCAACCGGAACCCGATAATGTTGGCAATCAGTGAGGCGTTGCTAATGAAAGCCCATCAGCCTGTGCTATGTGAACAGAAAATCTTGAGGCAACCAATCAAATTACCTTGGTCTTGATTTTGACGTTTTGGTGTGCCGAATTGTTCCCATGTATATATTTGTGTATGTGTCGCTGCTTGTATTGTGTGTGCGACAGAAGGCGAACAATCGAAATTTTGACATATCGCAACCTATGTCTATCCGGGAATCAGATAAAAACATAAAAAGGGAAAATATATAATGATGATTGAAAGCTGGGCTGAAGGGAATCGCCTACCCGTGCGGTCGATCAGGCAATCGATCGAGCGGACGAATGCGTTTTCAAACACCCGGCTAATTGGACTTTTGCCTCAGAGTTGAGAGGACAGTGTTTTTCGGCGGCATTTATCTGGCTACGTTGGCAGAGTTTTTGTTAACACGTTTTTCGTGGTCAAGGCTGTTGGAATTTTGATTTTTCTTCGGCTGGGCTAGAATTGCTGCGGAGAAATTTCTGGGTGGTTAATTCGGAATAGCGAAAAAGGGAAGATCTAACAATGGCGACGGACAAGCACGGAAATGTTACAAATTTTTCTGCCGAACATTTTCAAAAGCTGCTTCTTCAGCAACAATCCCAGATGGAAGCACAAATGAAACTGATTGAAAGTTTAACGCAGTGCTTAAACGTACAATCAAACGGAGCAGCTACACGGGACACGCAGGCTGTTTCACTTGATCTTCTTACGAATTCAATCACTGAATTTCATTATGATGCTGATTCCGAATCCACTTTCGAGGCGTGGTTCAAACGTTGGGAGGATATGTTCCAGACGGATTTCAGCCGTCAAGATGATTCATGGAAAGTGCGCCTTTTGCTCCGCAAGCTGGGAACTAATGAACATACAAGATTCCTTGACCACATATTGCCCAAAGAGCCGAAGGACATCACTTTCAACGAAGCAGTGGCAACACTCAAAGAAATTTTTGGTGAGTCAACATCATTGTTTAGCATTCGCTATCAATGTCTAAAAATTGTAAAGCGTGATACAGACGATTATGGGGCACTAGCAGACATGGTTAACCGCGAATGTGAACGTTTCAAGTTACGCTGTTTGACGGATGACCAGTTTAAGTGTCTTATATTTGTCAGTGCTTTACAGTCTCCACGCGACGCGGAAATCCGCACTCGGCTCCTTGCTAAGTTGGATCAAGACCCAGATTTGACATTGAAGTCTCTTGTACGCGAATGCAAACGGTTAATTACCTTGAAACACGACACAGCTATGATTGAGCAGAGTCGCCCCACCATTGCCGATACTGTTCATGCTGTACAAAAAGCAAGAAAGCCTGGCTCGAATAAGTCGTTCAACAGAAAGCCGAACAAGCCGCCTACACCTTGTTGGTCATGTGGTGAACGGCATTTCGCACGATACTGTCCATTCAAGAGTCATATTTGTGATAAGTGCCATAAACGCGGCCACAAGGAAGACTTTTGCTATCAATCCCGGCCAAGAAATGTGAAGCAGTCCTACCGAAGGAAGAATTTCAGAAAACCTGACGCAGAATCACTATCGGTGATTGCTACGTTTCACAGCGATTCTAAAACACGCCGCCGATTTATCACTGTGCTTATCAACGGAATCCCAACCCGGCTGCAGTTCGATACGGCATCAGATATAACGATCATTTCCAAGAACACTTGGAAGCACATAAAGAAGCCGAAAATGATTGATTCCAACAAAATCGCTCACAATGCATCCGGTGGAGTGCTGAAGTTGGTCGGAGAAATAAATTGCAAAATTGCATTCAACGGAGTGGAAAAGGCCGGAACCTGCTACTTGTCTGATCGACCAAACTTGAACCTCCTTGGACTTGACTGGATGGAAAAATTACAACTGTTTGATGCTCCAATGAGTCAGATTTGCAATACAGTACAAACCGACCCAGTACATTCATCACCGTCGACAGAAGAGATGACCAGAAAGCTAGAGCAGCTAGCTAAAAGTTGTGGCAACTGCGCTACCGCCTCAAGGGCACCGCCAAAGACTGAACTCCGCTCATGGCCTAAACCAACTAAACCTTGGAGTCGTGTTCATGTAGACTTTGCAGGCCCAATCAATGGCCAGAACTTTCTCATAGTGGTCGACGCTTATAGCAAGTGGCCCGAAGTGTTCCTCATGAGAAGCACAAAAGCCAGCGCAACCGTCTCTAGGTTACGACAAATTTTCAGCAGGTTCGGCTGCCCTGAAACATTAGTGACGGACAATGGAGCACAGTTTACTTCGGCCACATTCACGAATTTCTGCCAACGTTGCGCCATCAAACACGTGCGGTCTCCACCATTCCACCCACAATCGAATGGCCAAGCGGAGAGGTTTGTGGATACATTCAAACGCGCTCTCCTCAAATCAAGGAGGGAGGGAGACATAGAGGAGGTGATCGACCGCTTCCTATTTCTGTACCGATCTACACAAAATCCACAAACACCGGGTGGAATATCACCAGCAGAGGCAATGATGAAGAGAAAACTTCGCATGCCATATGATGCAGTTCGGCCATCCTCAGAGTCCATAGCTGGTGAAAGGAACCTAAAGATGGAACGTGATTTTAATCGGCGGTTTGGTGCCAAGCAACGTTCGTTTAGACCGGGTCAGCCAGTACTTGTGCGTGATTATCGGGGTGGACACGCAAAATGGACGCCAGGAACGATCCAGTGCAAGCGCGGAAGCGTCATTTACGACGTGCTGGTTGGAACGCAGGTATGGGTACGCCATGCAAACCAACTGCGAACAACAATGTGTCAGCCACAAGCAATAGAATCCGAAAAGCTTCCATTTGACCTGTTGACAGACAGCTTCAACTTGCCTACAGAGCCAGTAGAAGAACCCTGTCATCAGACGAATAGTACCAGACCGCAGAGTACGGAATTCGAATCCAGAACACTACAGCCAAGGCGATGCACCGGTAGGCGAAGAATCCCTTCCAGGAGGCTCCAGGTTAATCCCCGGCTAGCATCCTACACAACGGCAGCAGCTTCAGGAGGGGAGGTATCCGGGAATCAGATAAAAACATAAAAAGGGAAAATATATAATGATGATTGAAAGCTGGGCTGAAGGGAATCGCCTACCCGTGCGGTCGATCAGGCAATCGATCGAGCGGACGAATGCATTTTCAAACACCCGGCTAATTGGACTTTTGCCTCAGAGTTGAGAGGACAGTGTTTTTCGGCGGCATTTATCTGGCTACGTTGGCAGAGTTTTTGTTAACACGTTTTTCGTGGTCAAGGCTGTTGGAATTTTGATTTTTCTTCGGCTGGGCTAGAATTGCTGCGGAGAAATTCCTGGGTGGTTAATTCGGAATAGCGAAAAAGGGAAGATCTAACAATGTCTTCTTTCTGCTTTGATCAAGTGGCTGAAAGGGACCCAATGTTTTACGTTTCTGCAAAGAATACTCCGGTTACCGTTGCGAGGGCATTATACCGATTGTTGTCGTTGCGTTGTGAGCTGGCTGTAGAACGTACGAGGATAAGCTTCCTTGTAGGATGTATTCGATCAGGTTGCTTACCGTCACGGTTTGCACTGTTGAAGAATAAGTTGACCAGGATCGCGTCGGCACACCTCGACGCCTGTGCGAAACGTGAACGGAAGTTCCTCGAAACACAGAGACGATTTGCTGGCACCTTCAATGAGTTATCTTGGATTTGCCGCTTGAAATTTGAGACAGACATTTGAGCAAAGTGCTTCGTTGTACGCAAATGAAAGCAGTTCGTAGCTTACAGGGTTTGCTTGCAAAGACTACACACGCTTCCTTCCCTACTGATTGCCCGAAGCACGTATTTAATCCACCATCTGCTCAGTTCACTCACCCGCAGCTGGAAGTGCTTTCTCTCGGAATTCATTATCGGTTGTCATCCAAGACGATAGACAAGCTCAGTATTTTGAATCTCAGTACGACCAGCTCAGTGATTTCTCGCCAAGACCCAGAAGATGCGAGTCGGTTTCGGGAAAATTGGTGGATATCGCGGACCAATTCCTTAATACGACAATTGACTTAGACAAAACTCCACGAAAGGTGTTATTGCTTTAATTCAACTATGGGCACAACAACAAAGTATGGCGGATACAGTCGCCACGAGCTGTGCCATTGAGGAAAAACCATCAATGCGGAAGGATAAGGATAAATGTAAAGTTGCAGGAAAAGTCTAAACTGAAAAGAGAAATAAAAAATGATTGCACTGAAGGGTAGAGATCGAGTGGCGAAGTCGCCGGTAAAAAATAATAAAACTAAGTGGAGAATATAAATACAAAGAAGCAAAAGAACAAGCAACAGGAGAATAAGAGGGACAGAGTACACAGGTATGACACGCCTGAGAGTGGGTTAGGTTAAAGCTGAATAATTAAGTTAACAAGTGCTTCCGAAGTATATTAAAAGAGAGCCATGCATACTTCACTCGGGTCGATCAACTAAAAACCGGACACGAAAACACGCAAACCGAATAACGTCGGCAAAAACAACCAAGAAGGAGAGGTTGGCAAGAAAATACGAATAATTACAAAGCATCCACTTTGCGGACCATGTCTTTTTGATAATGACCGCCAGGGAAGGGTGCGCACGAGAGAAAAAAACAAATATTGAAGCACAACACTTGTGAAGAGTATTGTTCTCAGCAATTCACTACAGGCAGACACAATTATAAAACTATAATAGATCCGTGCAGATCTGGTCGCGTTAGCTTAGACGAAGTTACGTCTGACCTGAGCACAGTCCATATTTATGCACGTATTCGGAAAATGTAGTCCCCAAAACCAGACAACGAGGAGCACAAGACTGGGGGACTAAATGCGAGAGAGTAGAAGCACACGCAGCACATGGCTAGAACGACGCACACAAGCACGTGACCACGCGAATCCCAACCAGCCCACAAGAGGAGACAAGATGAAGCGGACCTCTGAGAGTTCGTTTATGACACGCAAAGGCCGAAGCACAGTTGGCACAACGGTACACTTTGTGGGTGAAATGAATCACTACGCAGGGCGCGTGATTTAAGCCCAGTTGCGCCCCGACTCGGACTGGTCTGATCCTGCAGCGAAGTAGGTAGGAATTGAACTCTACGTGGTGCAGCCCACGCATTGGAGTTCCTGGCGCACTTTTGCGGGGTTACTTGCTGTTCCGGCAACATTTCCTTGGAGATACGTTGTACCGCTTCTGGCGAGGATTGACCTGGAGTGCTTTCGGCGAGCTCCGGATTTTTCCCGTTCGTCGGTAAGTCGGGTTGTCGAGACGTTGCAGCGATAGGGCGGCTTCGCAGGCGTCTTCCGTTCTACTGCAATCCCAAGGGTATTCAATAAGATATGCAGCGGAAGGTGCACAGGAAGTCTGGCTTGCTTGGAGGGTTTTACATGTCGCGGTCAAAATTGGTTGTGATGGCGGACACATGTGTCATCGCAGACGGCGACATCGTGCACCAAATCACCTTGATGGACCATCACTGTTGCCAAAATCCATCGCGGATGACCTGCTCGATAGTCGCGAGCGTATACCGGGGCTCAAACGACGAACGCGTTGTGCTTGATGCAGGCAGCAGATTGGATTGGTGGCCTTGCGGTCGAAAGCAGCGCTTCGTGGGTGGTGCGTAGCTTGCGCCTCATAAATGCTTCAGCTGGAGACTGGCATGCTGGAGAGGCCGGATTTAGTATGGACCGATAAGAGAGTAAACACGCTTGAAGGCATTAATCTACAGCCCCCTCTCCAAGAGTGCCTCCTTAAAAGTGTCGACAAACCTCTCCACTTAAACATTGGATTCATCATCATCATCAACAGCAGTACATCAGCCATTTGAACTGATGCTTCGCTGTCATACAACCATGAGGACCTATGAAATAAAGAATAAGAAGAAGGAGAGAAGGGGGACTTACCTGAAAACCTAAGCAAACATTCAGGGTCAAGGCGCCTACACCTTGTGTAGTCAACATAGCGTCACAAACAGCTGGCTATCGTGCAAAGATTGGGGATGGTAGGGCAGTGAGCGTTGGTGTTAGATGCAATTCCAGCGACAAAAGTCTTCGAACATGGAAGACATAAACTGGGAGCCATTGTCAGACACCCAGAACACAGCAAATCCATGTTGACTGAAGATTCGTTGGAGGCAAACCAGTGTGGCGGATGCGGTTGGTGAGTTGACGGCGATCACTTCAGGCCATTTGGAGTAGTGTCGACCACGACCAAGTACGAGATGTTATCGATCGGACCAGCACAGTCGACGTGCACTCGAGACCACGGTTCTTCTGTCGGTTGCCAGGTGGTTGGTGTGGGGCGAAGACCAAGGGCTGCTGGATGGTCGGACGATGCCAAGTTCCAGCATGTGCTTGTATTCCACACGGGCAGTTTTGAGCTTGTCCTGAATCAGTCTTCGGGCTTTGGCGGAGACGGGCGGACCCTTGGTAACTATGTGATGCGGCGTAGCTGCGGCTGCCCTTGACAGAGAGGATGAAGGTCGGAAGACTTCAGGAAAACTCTCAAGTAGCGCTTTGCCGGCCGGCGAGTTGGTAGTGGCGTACACCGGACTGAGCGACGCTACATCGCTGTATGTTCCAGCGACGGAAAGTTTCGTTGTCTGATCGATGAGACGATGTCGTTTAGTATCGACGAGCAAGTCGAAGTGTTGAAGAAAATCCATCCAGATAATGGGATTTGGACCTCAGCGACAAGGAATACCCATCGAAAAGAGCGTCGCAAGTCGAGGTTAAGCGTGCGTGAGCACTGATCGTAGACGCTGATGCTGGTGCCGTTGGCTGCGCGTAGAGAACCAGTCACCTTTCCGGTTGCGTCGTTGGGATCCCGTGGAAGGACGCTGACTTCTGCGCCAGTGTCGACGAAATAGCGAACTCCTGTTTGTCGGTCGGTGACGAAGAATAGGCGACTGTGTTGACCAGCTACGTCCGTCGCCCCTACGTGCTGGTCGGCCCGTTCCCCTGCGATGTGCGTTTAAACGAACGCGGTAAGCGGCCCGACTTGGCCGGCTGGCCAAATCGACGATGGTACCAGCATTCGGCATGGTGATTTCGGCGGTGATTTTGATCGAGATGGGCGTTGACGATTTGAAGAACGACATCGGCAGCTATTCCCAGAAATTGTGAAATCGGCAAACTTTTTGGTGAGTGCGGCAATATCGTCTTTCGGCATAGATCGAACTTGCGAAATCTGGCCGTAAGATTCCCAAATTTGGTCTGCGATATCGGCCATCAGCGTTAGGGATGCGCCAGCATTTGCGTAAAGGATATTGCACATTTCACATGGCAATCTACGCAGCCGCATTTCCTTGAGAAATGTGTCGTCCACCATGTCGGGTTTGACTAAACTTTGCATCTTGCGCAATAGCTGCGATGGCTTGAGATCACCCAACTCCGTTTCGCTCAGAAGCTTCGTGATACGTTGACGATCTGAAAGACCTGTTCTTTTGAGAATCGCGGCTTTGATTTCCTCGTAAGTTTTCCTCTCTGCTGGCAATTCGAGGATATCGTCGATATCATCAGTGACGTGCGGAGAAAGCGCGGAGACGACGTGGAGATATTTGAGTATTTCAGATCTAATGCCACGAAGTTCGAAAAGTGCCTCTAACTGAACAAACCAATGTTTTAGATTGCTTTCATGAAAGGGCGGAGTAGCGATGGTTACATGTTCAACCTTGCCGTCGAGGACTGGGTGACACGTATCCATAGCAGAAAAATGATACAAAGTAAGCGATGTAGAACCCGAAATATGCACAAAAATATGAAAATGGATGGAAGTACTGCAAAACTGGACGAACCTGGAAAGAAAAATTAGTAAGTGGCTTAGCAAATTTTCGGTCGGGGTCACCAGTTATAGCGGAATTCTTCGGTCGCTATATATCAGGTTCGTCCCGCCTCAAGGAAAAGTCGGAAAAAGACGGATATATGAGCGAGATAGACGTTTATTGTCGAAACGCACAATCCCGCTAGCTGAAGGCACCGCAAAATGGTTCTAGCTAGGGGAAAGGTATAGTCGCCAGCCGAGACGTAGCAAACGCACTTCGAGGCGGAAAAGCCAGAAGCGACGAATGCGATTCGTCTGGATGACTCACACACACGTAGTCATCGTGCGAACAGGCAAGCTTCCTAAGTTGTCTATGTACAGAATGACATATTTTAATACTATTTTCCAAAGACAAACAGGACAATCTCCAGGTCACTACACGGGAACTTACAAAACGGTCACGTGACAAACCGGTTGTAAGGAACATAAAAACAAGAAAGAATAATGTGCAATTGGTCAACAATGAAATAGCACACAAAAGATAGCAATTATGCTTTTAAGCGCTACAGAGATTCCGCCTAGAAGGATGAACATAGGAAGACTTCGAGATCGAAAATGATGGGAGAATCGAAGTTCGTAGAGCAAATTCGTGCCGAGAAAGAATGAGTGAGAGTTCTTGCCAAATGGGAGTTCGTCGTAAGTCGGAGTACGCTGTACTGTCTATCATGCATTATTTATTGATTACAGGGCAGGGTGTATTTCGGCGAGCTGTTGGAGCGGCCTTGTCGGACTTCACAAATTTACCTAGCCCAGGAAAAAAGGCCGACAGGACCTCAAGCTCCGCTGCTGCCAAAGGGTGCGCTTGGGAGTGGTCTCTCGCCGCGCCGCACCCCGCCCCGTGCCAAAACGACCCTCGTCCCACGGAGAAACGACCATCGTCTCACGAAAAAGCGACCATCGTCCCACGAAGAAACGACCCTTGTCCTGCGGAGAAACAACCCGAGTCCTCGTTTGGATCTTCGTTGACTGTGGCGATCCTCGAAAAAGTCGCTGGTGAGGGCCAGTCCATCGAAGGGGAGGGTTGGGGCATGTATAGTCGCGATAGCAGAACACGCCTAAAAGAACGAACGAATAATCTGCGTGCAAAAATGTTCTGGTATTTTGGGTTTGTGAATTGTGTTGAGAAGGCGCTTCGGACGATTTTGATTTTTGTGTTTTCAAAACGTTAATCCAAATCATCATACACGTTAGCCAGAGGTGGGGAACACCTCAGCTACTGTGCCGAAATACAGAAAAAAGGAGAAAAAATGCAACTGGTGCAAGCTGGCTGAGCTACCGGTAAAGGATGGGCATCGTTCCGGTAAGCTACCAGCCGGCTACTGTGCATCAAAAAATTACTATGCAAAATTATATAAGGCTAAATAATGAGATCGTGGTTGGAGAGGGAGGATAAGAGGGATGGGGTGGGACAAAGAAACACACAGCACGAACGCCACTGAGGTCGGCTCCTTGCCATATCAGCAAGTGTGTCCAACCAAACGTGTTCATCGTCTTTGGGACCCCAACCAGGGAGCCGAGACGCTCCAACCGAGGCCAGCTAAGAAGTGAGGGACTTCATTCCTCTCGACCAGGTCATCGTTTGGCCACCCCTTCTCTTCTTCCATCCACACCCCCGCCGCGCAAACAACGCACGTCGCGGGAGTCGGTGGGCTGCCATGCGTAACACGTGGCCGAGCCATCGGAGCCTGGTGCGTGAAATAAAGGTGCTGAGCGGTTCATTTCCTTTTCCTGTGCCGTAAACAACGCGTCGAACACGCTCGTTGCTCACGCGGTGTTCCCACCAAATGTGAGCTAAATTACGAAGGCACCGATGGTCGAACGTAACTAGCCTCTTCAGGTCCGTTGCTTTAAGGGGCCAGGTTTCACAACCGTACAGTAGGGTCGAACGTACCGCTGCATTGTACACTCTACTCTTCAGGGCAAGAGTGATGTCGCGCCGGCGCCATAAGTGGCCAAGGTTAGCAAAAGCACCCCGAGCTTTTGCTATAGGGTTCGTGATCTCCTCTTCAATCCCACGGGCGTTGATACAACTTCCCAGATAGTTGAATTTTTGAACGACTTCTAGCTGATCCCCACCAAGGGTCAGCGAAGGAGGCGGTCCATACCAATCTTGGAGGAACGCTTTGCACTTAAAGGGTGCGAAGCAAAGCCCGAAGTGACGGACAGCTAGTGCTAAGCTGTCCAGTGCTGCTTTGCACATTTGTGAGCCGTCACAAATTAGGGCAATATCATCAGCATACTCTAAGTCAAGAAGTCGTTCTCCTGGGAGTAGCTCCACACCTTCTAAGTCGTGTCCTGTGAACGCGATTTAAATGACTTCGTCAACAGCGAAGTTGAGGAGGAAAGGTGACAGCGGGCATCCTTGTCTCATGCCGCTGGAGATATTAAAGGGCGACGACAACTTGCCGTAAGCCTTCACTCTGCCCGAGCTAGGCGTATATAATGCTCGGATAATATTTACATATTTCTCAGGTACACCTTTCCTGAGTAGACAGTCTCAAAGCGCAAGTCTATCCACCGAATCGAATGCACCTTTGATATCGAGGAACACGACAACGGTGGGCCGCAAATGTATGTGACGGTGCTCCAACAACTGACGCAAGGTGAAGATGTAGTCAATGCAGACACGACCTCGACGAAACCCGGCTTGCTCTTCACGAATCTGGCTTCCACAAGTGCCAGTCAGTCTGTGAAGGATGACAGAGGCAAGCAATTCGGAGGCAATGGAGATCAGACTGATTCCTATATGGCTGCCGCATTCCGATCGTGAGCCTCCCTTGAAAATTGGGACTATGACGGAGCGGCTCCAGTCGGTTGGGACAGTTACCTGTTCCCACAGTTTAACTAGCAATTCGTGTAAATTATCCACATGAGCAAGTTCCCCGAATTTGAAGAGGGCTGGAAAAAGATCATCAGGTCCCGCGGCTTTATTGAACTTCAACAGTCCGATCTCACGTTGGACTTCTGAGCGAGAGGGTGGATCCAAAGGGACAGCCCAGGGAGCGGGGCGATCAGTGGCCGGCAAGAAATCTAACAATTCCGGCCGATTAAATTGCGTTTCAAAGTGCTCAGCCCAATGCTCCAATCGTTTTGACAAGTTGTGGATAGGCTGTCCACTGTCGTCACAGATTGTTTCACTAACACCAGGTCTTCTACTGCCCGATCCCCGTATCAGACGGAATATCTTACTATGGTTACCAAGGGCAGCGGCCATTTCCATCTCTGATGCACGATCAGACCACCAGGATTCGCGGTCTCTCTTCAGGCTAGCACGGAGTTTTGCCTGGAGCTCTTTGCGAGTTTCATTGTATTCGCTTCCAGCCGGAATATGCCGGCGACCATCTATAAATTCCAGAGACTGTGAAGAGACCCAATGTCCATGTTGGCGATTAGACATACTACATGAGGATTTTCCTGCTGCAAGTAAGGTCTGGTGATATGAAACCAGTGACCTTCAATTGCATCCAGTGAGCTTTTATCCAACTCGCATGACAGCGTACTTTGATAGGCATTCAGAACAGCTGGCTTTGTCAGTTGGCTGTGTCAATGCAACGAGACTGGGCCTTAACGTGGTGCGACGGTTTGCGTAGCTCATTGACCCATTGAGCTATACTGGGTGATGCCTCCGAGCATCTTGAGAGCTACTCCTACCAGGTTCCTGCGATCGCAACCGCCTCTCACTCCACCGAAGCTCCAGCTCTTCTCCGACCTGGTTCTCCATTCATCCTCGCAGCGTTTAATGTTCGAACTTTGATGCAGATCGGACGACAAGCATGTCTGGCCCGTACTCTTGAAACGCTATCGGTAGACATCTGTTGTCTTTCAGAGACCAGATTGCAAGACTCTAGCGCCGTCATCAGAATGGCCTCTCCGGTAAACTCTGACGCCAAATACTACTTGCGGCTTTCCGGAGACCCAGAATCTGCCGCCACTGGTCAAGCTGGTGTTGGGGTTGTATTAAGTGCCAGGGCTGAATCAGCTCTGCTTGACTGGATCCCAGTCAACAGCCGACTATGTGCAGTCAGACTAAGAGGTTCATGTAACGTAAGCAGGCGTCGAGATGTTAAGCGTGCCTTATTTGTCGTCTCCGGCTACGCCCCTACAGACTGCAGCCCGGATGCAGTTAAAGATAGCTTCTACCAACAACTACATGAACTTCTGCGTTCCTCCAAACGGACGGATATAGTCATTCTTGCCGGGGACTTTAACGCACGGGTTGGCCGCCTTCTACCAAGCGAGCACCACATTGGGGGTAGTTTTGGTCTCGGTGGCAGTCGATCAGACAATGGAGACAGACTACTTGCTCTTTGCTCTGATCATCGCTTGTTTCTTTCGAGCACTAGTTTTCGACACTCGAGGAGACAGACTGCTACCTGGCGCCCGCCCTCACAAACGCAAGAGTGCTCCCAGCTTGACCACATAGCAATCAGCTACAGATGGCGCGGAAGCGTAATGGACTGCCGATCGTACTGGTCAACTTTTCTGGACTCTGATCACGCATTGGTTCGTGCTAAGATTTGCATGCGTTTCGGAGGATCACCTAAGCGCGCCCACTACCGACCGGACGTCGCAAATCTACAAAACGCTGCGGTTTTAACCAGGTACCAAGCCTCACTGTCAACCTTGCTTGGCTCAACTATTGACGGTGATCTCGATTCGCAGTGGGCGCAAATCAAAGATGCATTAGTTTCCGCCAGTATCGACACTTGTGGAGTTACCCGTCACCCACCGAAACATTGGATTTCCGCCGACTCCTTGTCGCTGATGGACAAACGCCGCTTGATCCCATCGGATTCGAGACACGTTGAAGAACGCCAATACCTTGGTCGAGAGTTGCGCAGGAGTCTGCAAATGGACCGCGAAGCTTGGTGGTGTGAACGTGC